TAGGGTGTATACGCCAATTAGGGCCATTTGATTAATTAAACTTATGTGAATTGATATGGTGCATCGCGACGCATAAAAGTTTGGTGCGCAGGTGTATCTGGACCATAGAAGTGGTCTGGTCAACTATGGGATTATTTGGTGTATTGCAGACCATGAGAAGATGGTGCACTCGCTGATCTGGACCTTAGATCTATTATAGTTAATAGAAAATAATCTAGTGTGAGCGTGTTCATTTGCGCACTCATTTATGACCATTGGATGCGGCATAAAGGAAGTGATGGATTCAGTGTGGTGAGCTCACGGTAGCTGAAAGATCTTAGCCAATACCAGCACACAAGGAGGCTTGAATCCAGCGCGTGCAAGTGCATAGTAAGCACGTGGGCGCGCGTGGGAAACTATGTTGGCCTAATTCGACACTAGAAATTAAAACGGTCATAATTTAGTCATTTTAAATCGAAATTGGGTCATTCTTGAGCTCAAATTCAAGGATTTTTCGTCTTCTTTCCAATGGTCCCAATTTCATTATCAGATTCCCATCCTACTAGGAGATATTTATGTTTTAGTGAGAAAGTGTCGGAAAACTATTTAAACCAATATGGAGTATTTAAAGGAAACTATTTCTGACATATTTAGTTGCACTAATTTGTGTAAATATAATAAATTAATAATTTGTTATGGAAGGAAGTGTATATATATATATATATATATATATATATATATATATATATAATTATTTATATATATGTATATATAGTTTAATTTGTCTATGAGTTGTATGGAAGGAATTTGTCTATGAGTTGTATGGAAGGATGAATATATATATATATATATATATATATATATATATATATATGTATGTATGTATGTATGTATGTATATTGATTTTAAATAATCAAGGATTATTAAAGAAGGTGTTAAACACATATATACATTAAATAACATATGTGTAGGTATATATATATATAAATCATTTAAGATGATTAATATTATCATTCTTATTTGGCATATCTTAATAGGCTGGTTGTTAAATTAATGATATGCGTATAATATGCATATGATGCCTATGTATGATTTAGGGTATTGTTAATTTTAAAGTTAATTCATGGTTAAAGTGTAGGCATGGATGAATTGTAAATTGATTAAATATATTACTTAAATATTTGTATGAATAGAATACATATATGGAAAGCATGGATGAATTGCTAATTAAATGTATGAATAAATATACCTGTGGAGGCATGGTTGAATCGCCAATGTATAAATATATATACACGGAGGCATGGTTGAATTGCCAATTTATAAATATATATACTTGTGGAGGCATGGTTGAATTGCCAATATATAAATAAAAATATTTGTAACGGCATGATTGATTTGCCAAAGCATAATTACGTTATTATGTGTTAGATGATTAAAATATCATCTATGGTTGTTGTATGTATGGATTGGATTAGGGTTAGATATTCTTAAATGAGAATAGTTTAGTACTTACTGGTTAGTGTATTATTTTACATTAATAAAATAATATTGGGGAAGACGTGGATGATTTGTCAAAACTTGGATTTTGGATATGTGATTTAAACAATTAAAATCATTATCGGGTTGGGATTAAATAGAGTATTTCTTTTATTATAATTTGTTGTTTAAATGATTAAACAACTGACTAGGATGGGATTAAGGTCAAAGGAGTTTTTATAAAATGAAATGGTAGATTGGTCTAGGTATGAATATTATTTTAATAATTATTTAATAGGTATGGAAATTTAATAAACCTATTAATGGATGTGATTAGTATAGTATATATAATTATATATAGACATGTATATCGTGCTTTATTAAAGTTAAAACTTTATTAGGTTTGGTTTTGATCAGAGATGATCTGCTTATTGGTTTTCAGAGGCCTGGTAGAGTGAACTTGCTCGTAGGGTTTAACCCACGATTTATTTTTCAGGTTATTAGAGGTTCCAGTCTCGAGGTCGAAGATCCGCAGCTGGGAGACTGTCATTCGTCTATTCATCTTGTGTACTTTTAAATAGTATTGGATTATTGGATAATGTTTTAAGGGGTCCTTGAGTTATGGGATTTCCGAATTGTAATTGTTGGAGAATCATTAAGTAATATTTATTTATTAGTTTTCTTCAGCGATTTATTTATTCTTTATTATTCATCTTTGTATTCTGTGCTTGTTAAATACTTAAATTGTTTTGATATCCCTTGATTTTGTGCGCGGACTTGATCAATCCGTGTTCCAAAATTAGGGGGTATCACAACTATCCATCTGCTTCTTCTTCATTTTTTTTTTTTTTTTTTTTGGTCTAGAGGGCTTTGTTACGTTGTTTGCTTCTTAATTCAATCAATTATTAAAAATCACACAATAAATTTTGAGATGCCAAATTGATAACCATCAGTAAGAATTCTAAATTCATAAGTTATAACATACTTCTAAAGTCTGCAAAGTCATAGATCTGAAACTCCTAAACAAAAATGATTACATATTTATTATTATATAATATATGTGTGTGTGAAGAGGGAGAGAGAGGGAGGGAGGCCTAAAAGACGTACGAGGTGGGTGGTGCCTTATACGTTGGTGGCTAATTCACGACGAAGATAAGTGAATCAGTGATAGAGAATTATTATTAGCTAGTCAAACTAATTTTTAATTATCTATTTTATTATATTAAAATTATATAATTTTAAGGAGGATAATTTGGTATTGTGAAATAAGAGTGCGAGGATATTTTGAATTTGAACAATAAATATTGATGTATTTATAATTATTTTACTTAATTCAATCAAAATAAAAAAATTAACTTTTCAAACTAATCAATTTGTTATTTAGGATTCTTAACTTTACCTGGTTATAGTTTTCTCTTATTTTTATATATTTGTATATTATTATTTTTGTTTGAATTACAGTTTTTAGTTATTAACAAGTAAATGAACTAATACGTGTGTCAATATATTTAATATACTAAGAGATATCAGTTATAATATCAAGAGGCAAGGGTTATAATATTCATTTGGTCCCAAACATATGATTTAAAACACAATATTTAATAAGTAAATCAACCAATAAATATGTTATTATATTTAGCATAATAAAAGACAAATGTTATAAAACCAAGAGGCAAGAGTTGTATTCATTTTGGTGCACAATTTTTAATTCTTAGTTATCACACTTCAAACGTGATTTAAAACATAATATTTGTGCAATAGCATTGATGGTGACAATAACGTTTTTTTCATCTGGTTTAGTGAAAGGAATGTCTTCTTCTCGAGGGCAATAATTTATTCATGTTAGTCTAAAACAGAACAATCTACGTCATCAGGTGCGGTTTCACTTTTAAAGTGGAATAGTGGATATCTCGATAGTTAGTGAATTATTGTTTGAAGTAAATTTTAAAATATCAGACTTTAACTATCTGCATCTACTAATTTAAATTTTAACACTTCTTATTTTATAAAATAAAAAAAAAAATAGTAATCATAAAAAACTTTCAACGTGGAGTAGTCATAATGATCTTAAGATATAGTCTATGAAACTGATCGTTAATCTTAATGTCTTTATTTTTTTGTTTTATGTAAGTGTTATGATAAAATAACTTAATTTTTTGTATTTTCACATAATTTTTAATGTACTCAATTATTTTAGGGCAAAGAGAGAAATACTTGATAGCATCATGCGAATTTTCTTCCCATGATTGGTTGGATTCCTAATTGAAATAAATATATTCTAATTACATTTAAAAATATTACATCTAAAAATAGAGTATGTGGCTTACAAACCTTTAAAACGTGTTAAATTGTGTGTTGAAATGTTTAGGAAGTCTTATTGTTTCGGTGGGCCAAAACTCGTTCTTGTCGCACTTGGTTTCATTAAAATTATTGAACTTCGTCGTCCTCGTCCCCACCAGTTTTATCATATTTCACTTTACACATAATCTTTCTATTTTTTTAATCCCAAAAAAGTTATTGCTACCCAAAAATAAAATTAAAAAAATAAAAAGTATACCACTAACAAATTTTATATTAATCTTCAAATGTTTTCTAATCCACCAAAGGTATGCACCCTGTTGGCACCTATTCAGCATCAGCCTTTTCTGTATTAAATGACACTCATGTCCACCTCCAAAACTTGATTGATGAAGATTGGTTATGAACTTAATCAAAATGGTTATTTTATTTTATTTTATTTTATTTCCCCAAAATTAATCAAATGGTTATTGACTTGGTGAACAAGGCATTTGAAGGTAAGTCAATTTCGCGAAGTTTCTCATATCCAATCGTGCACAAAACCTAATAGCCCACATGGTTTTAAAAGTAGTCCAAGTCAAAATTATAAATTACAGTATATTCTTATTTTACGATTGAGTGACTTGCCCAACAACATGTTGCCAAATTGTTCAAGAGACTATTATTATCTTGTATTAGTAGTACCATATACATAAGGTTTTACTTTTATTAAAGCTTATTAATTATTATATGATATATTGAATTAAAACATTGCATATAAAATAATGTATATATACAAATATATCTTTATATATAAACAATACTTCCCTCCTTCTACTTATAAGGAGAAATCGCATTCTTCCTCCTCACGTGACATGATATGATCGAATTATATTGATAATATATTTGATATCTATAAAAATATGTTATTTTTATTTTTTTAATATAATCATGAACAAGTCAGTTGTAAGGAGGAGGTTCCTTATTATAGGTAAGGAGGAAGTTCTCATTAATATCTTTTTTCCAAAATATATTTACACTTTTGCCATCTCAAAAAAGTTGTGACATTGGAAATAGAATTAAAAGAAAATTAGTTTGAAATTGGTACTAATTTCCCAGGTATTTTAATTCAAAAGCACCAATGTGCAGAATATGGTGAAAAGTCATGGTCAATGGAGTTGTTCCCTACACGCATTGGAATACCATGATGTTTCTGTATAAATTGCTTTGTAGCAACCTATGTACCACATTGCTGCTGCTTCAGAAAATGGGAGAGAACTCCATAGACATGTCCGTTAAAGAAGCTTCGTCTCCGAGCAGCGGCGAGGTTGTGGAGCGGGAAGACACTGCAAAGCGTCAACGTGTTAACCGGTTTGTCTCCTTCATGGAGATTTCGGTAGAGCCAGGGATAAAATCGCTGAAACATCTTGATTCGAAGAAGTTCAAGAATGAGATCAAGAGATGGGCTAAAGCTGTTGTGGCTTATGCTCGCCAGGTCAGCAAACGGTTTGGAAGCTCCCGCCGCTCTGAGAGCTCTGAGAGTTCTTGTCGCTCTGAAAGCTCTCATGGCTACGGAAGCTCTGGTCGCTGATTCAGATTCCGGTGGGAGCAAGCCACCGAATGTCGATGACAATGGAGTTATTTTATCTGCATTTGAGACACATTGTTGAAGTCCCACTTGACGTATATACAAACTCAGATGATGTAAGATTTGGCTTGCAGAGTGAGAGATTGAAAGCATTTTTGAGAGGTTTATGTATGCATGAAAATTATGCAACCAGACCTTGGAGGTACACAAAGGCTTCAGTTTACATTAATATCACATTATTTACCTGTTTTTTTGCTTTCCCAAAACTCAATTGCTTAGTTGTTCTCTGGTCAACAACAACAGAGACAACATTATCATCACTGTGGAATAAATGTTAAAACTCTAGACGAAAATGGGGTTTCTCATTTTTTTTTTTTTTTTTTTTTCCCAAGAAAGTGAAAATACAAATTAAATTTGCGTAAACAATCTCAAATACTCAAAACAAATAAAAACCAGGTTTGGAGTTCATTGGCTTATCAATTGAAAGATGATTAATTTTACAGTAGAAATACTTGAAGCAAGGTCAAATAAATTCGGTTGGTTTAAACCGATGTCAGAGCTAACAGATCTTTTAAGAACTGTTCTTACTTTATTTTTGATCATACAACACTGGTTCATGCTAAAACAAAAACATTTGCAACACGATTCTCTACCGTGCTAATACCATACCCGAAATACCAAAAAACCACGTTAGACATGGTAACGTCCAACATCAGCTTCTTGATTCTTTCTCGAGAGAGCTTCTCTACCAAGGCTTAGTTGAGAAGGGGAAGTGTCGTATACGTCCCCAAGTCCATCTCATCACTCGGTCTTCGCTACCTCAGCAAACAACTTTTCATTGCCGGAAATGCTTCTCAGAAGCTGCTTAGAGCACATGTCCTGAGCTTGTGTTGCATTCCTCATTCGGTTGGCTTTTACCCAAGCGGGTTCCTGCCAAGGAGGGAAAAGATTATACTTTCACATGTTCTTGATAATCATTTTTGTATTATTGAAAAAGGTTCCTAGTCATTAGAAGATGCAGGCCTGAATCGCAGACTTTGTGAAGAGGAAGAGTAAAAATGATCACCTCAGGAACAATGTGAGAGAATCCGAATTTAATCAGCAGGAGGATGTGTTCCATGATGAAGATTGCTGCAAGTCCGGGTTCTATTTTCCATTTCCCTTCCTCATCATATAAACATACTAAGAGTGCGCAGTTGGTGCAGATAGACATCACTATCAGAAACTGGTATTCAGAACATAGCCCATTGTTAAAGAGTTGAAAAACCGAAATACAGGGGAACTACTAAGCAATTGAATGGAGAAAACGAAGATCTAGAAAATTTTGAATACACTTAATGCAGAACAACTAATGTTTTTTTAAAAGATAGGATCTTGTATAAATAAATACAAAAAATTGGAGCTCTACTTTTGGTGAAAATATAATCTGCCCTTAGCGTGCCAATTAGGATATATGTTATAAGAGCATGATACCAAAAGTTATTATTTTTGCACGGACCACCCATCCATCAAGCTAGGGGTGGATCAGTCACTCCCTTGGTGAAAATTTTTTGTTGACAGGAATTACAAATGTTGCTAGCTAATACAGTGTTTTACTATTCTATCATGTATACTGTACCCATTTGCCACAAAAAGCAAAAAGAGAAGCCTAGAATGTTAATATGTTTTACCACCAAAGGCCGTAGCCGACGCGAGTCTCAGTGCAATGGTAAGGTTGCTCCATCATGACCTGGAGGTCGCAGATTCGAAACAAGGAAACAACCTCTCCGCATGCGGAGACCCTGCAATGGCAGGAGCCATAACATACTGGCATTTCCTCTTGAAAGATGGTTTGAGGGTTGTCTCCATAAGGGGAAAAGTAGGTGTGTGTGTTTCTTGACAAGAATGTTAATATTTCTTAGTTTCTAGTGTAATTAATTCCTTTGGCCCATGGATTTGTTAAATTTTGACAGCAACATGCCTTTTATGTTTGTGTGAAAGGGAATAGCCCATCTCCTCCAACCTAGCTGTTCTGCTTCCAGAATTTGAAGACAATCCCCAATCTTATCCACACATTTATTGTAATTTGGAGCTCAACCCAACAAAGCATCATTAATGGTAAGAAAAGATTACACAAAACATAAAACATTGATTGACGATAGGAATTTAACTTAAGCTAGTTCTAGTTTGCATGTGATTACATTTTTTTTTTTAAAGTGGGAATTTATTAAAGTAAACATGTTGAAGTGGGAAATACATCGGAGTGCTTTTCAGACCAACAAAATACAATCAGTACCTGAAATATGTTTAGCCATGCTCCAATTGTAGCAGAAGCACGGGGAATGGGCCTTTTAAACATGGAAAGCAGCTTTAGTGCATCGGTTCTGATTTCTGTAACATTGTTCTGCCAAACACAGCCACAATGAACCAGACTTCTATTTACTCAGCTCAAAATAGTATTTGCAGAATGAAAGGGCTGAAAGCATTAATTACCAATGCAGCAAAGGCAAAGGCAAGGGGGAATGCACAAGCAAACATCATGATCATTCCAAACTGCAACGCCAACTCCAGGAAGTCTGCACGTGGTTTGAGTATTTAGTTAATGAATGCAAATGAGTAAGAATTTTCACAGGGTGATTTAAAATACAAAATATTGAAACAATATATAAACCCATGGAATTGGAACACACAAGTACATCAAGTAAGCTGAAGTCATCATTAAAGCAATGTGTGTGTGCGTGTTTGAGAGAGAGAGACTTATAAACAGAACAAATTGAAAAAACATCACAAATAGACAGAGCAATGAACTATGGAGTACACCTTCTTCTTCTTTTTTAATAACAACAAACCATTCCAACTAGGCATCCTTTAGACTCGTGGCTACAACTTGAGAAGGGCGTCTACTTTTAGTCATTGGAGCGTGAATACACCTTCATATGATTTCAAACGCTTCCTTTTTATTATTTTTCTTTTTATTTTTCCTTTTCTTCCTCTTCCCCAAAATGTTAGTTGACAGTCACAAAAAAGAAAAAAATGCAAATTACCATCAAAAAGCCCATCTTCAAGTTCCTCTCCAATACTTGCAGAATAATCAGGTTTCAGGTACTCTTTCTCTACCCTAGATGTGAGCCGAATCTTCCCAGATGATAATCCTTTATCACGTTTTTTCTTGGTCCTTGACACAGGAAACAATGCATCAGCCCACATTCCACTAATGTATGACAAAGGTAAACCAACAATATAATCTACAATCTTTAGTGATGAAGAAACGATAATTGCAGAAGAAGCTTACCGAACAGTTCTATATTTTTTATAGCTGTATCTGAGATACGGTAAAGAATTTTCCATCAGATTTTCCAGCACCTGGAAAGCATTTCCAGCACAAGAGAATATTAACACAAAAGGCCAAACCTAGATATAGAAAAGATAATATATCAACCATTGCTACCTCAGACAGAATCAGACGCTGAATCAAGACTTGGCGTAGGGTCTTAAAGTTGCGGTGTAAAAGTGCATGATAAAAAACACCAATATATGACTGCATAAAATAAAGGCCAAACACCTGCAGAGAGAGTGCTTAAAAGTCAAGTAAAATTCCTCAGATCCATTCAGGATTAGACATTTGTACAAATCTGTTTTTATTACCTTGTAAATTAAGCTGTCAGCTCTATACTCTGTGTTTTCATTGTTTTCATATTTAATAAGATTGACTGATAGCTTCCCCCCAATCTTTGTAAAATACTGAATGGCAAAAAGATATATTGCTGTCAACCCAAACCTGAAAAAAGAAATCACAAGTGTCATGCTGTCGAACAATTTCATGCAATAACTTCATAAAGGTTCATAAGAGAAAAATATTTAGTACAGAGGGGGTTGACAATTTCCAGCACCAACCGCTTAAGTTGGGAGCTTAAAGACATTGAATAGTAAATGTGCTTTGACAATGATGTTTGTAGAGAACTGCACAAGAACGTCTATGCATTTGTAGCCCAAGAAAATTTTTTTTTAAAAAAAAAAAAAAAGGAAAAGAAAAAGATGCACATGTTTGCTTGAGAGAGGAACTGCACAACTGAGCCATGGTCATAAACCACACTCATCTTTTGTTTGGTTTAACTGAGTGTTATCGTATGAACAATAGAAAAGCTTCCGGAGTGATAAAGAAAATATTAGAACAATATAAAAATCCTTTTTCAGTCCAAAAATAAAGTAAAATTTGTCTTCATGCCAGAGGGTCTGCAATAGAGCCATCTTCTTACATAAATTACAAGTCATGAAGTACGTTGCGAAGAATGACACCAAGAGAAAAGGAAAGGAAAAGGGATCAAACGAGAAAGACATCCACATGGCATGTATTGACTAAAGGAAAGCATATGATAAAGTTATAAAAGAAAGCTATTGCACTAGAACAACACTTCAAAGTCTATCAAAGTACATATCTAGACATCATGGAGGACATGTACACACAAAAAAAATAAAAAATAAAATCAATTAGAGTGAGAATGTGCATTTACAAACAAGTCTCCAGAAACAGTAGATTTCTACAACAAATCATCTTGGAACTGACAACAGGAGAATTTTCCAAGTTGTCTTGGATATGGTAATTAAAAGATCTATAGGTCATGTTAAATGAGGTTCTTTGAGTGAATTAGCAATTAGATTGTTATAAGCTGATGAATTTGATAGAGTGGATTAGCAATTAGATTGGTATGGTCATTAAAGGATCTATAGGTCATGTTTGAGATACTGCCATGGAGTGGCTACCGCTCCTTTGACCAAGTAGTAAACCCTCAATACATTGATGGGCCTGTCCGCTTGGCCAAAATGGGGGTTTGACTGCACCCCGTGGTCTACTTCTGCAAACCCATGCCATGCTTCCTTGGGTTACAGTATGGTCCATGGGTGGCCCGTATTGTAACATCTCACCAAGCTCAAATGAGCCCCCCAGACCCTGACTTATATCCTGGGCTTGACAGCGTAGTTTCTTTCAAATGCAAATAGTAATTATTTTACTAATGATGTTAAACATCATATAATGCAGAACAAGTGGCTTACAAAGCCAAGTTTATGAGCCAAAGTTATATGCTACCTTAAGCATAACGAAGATGAGAGAGAACTTAAAAATCAAGAAATTAAGTAGTTGCAAAAAGAATGAGCGCAATAAAGAGAAACATGAAAAAATACAAGTCAATATGATTACATGCTTACTTCAAAATATCAGACCCGATAACCTCATAGAGATGAGCATAAGTTAACTCAAAAGGGAGCTGAAGACATATGATACTCAAGATAACAATGGCATCATTTCTGAATCTCATTAGACATCCAAACCATTCCTCTCTTTGAACTACTTCTTTGCCTTTTGTTTGATCGATTGACCATTTTCTAATGAGTTCCACAGGGGACTGAAGAGAACTCCATTCCATATCAAAACCTTTATATCCAGGGTCTGCTCCAACTGAATGACTAATCTGCCACCTATATCAACCAGAAATAAAAATAAATAAAGATTTAGCCTAGGTACATCAAAAGGTAACTGTGATATCCACAAAAACAGTCAGGACAAATTAAGTTACCTGGCTAAAAGGGCGGAGTTTTTACGTTTCCAGAATTGAAAAAATAATACGGCCCACAGTACCATGCTTACGAGGAAAACAGGAAGCATCAATAACTGCAATGATCTGATGAAAACAATAAGCAGAGAGTTGATTTATGAGCAAAATTGCATGTGAATAAATTAAGAGATGGTAAAGATTAAAAAGTAATGTAGCCCACCCGAAATCAACCAACTGCAAGGCAAGTCCGAATGCAGCTGGAAATAACATCCACCGTGTATACATTCCAAGGAAAGCAAAATAGGTTGCAATCTACAATATATATCAAGCTATTGAATGATTAAACTAAAAAATTTTGATTGTGAAATTTTCTATCAAGAACTTTAATTAAATATGGATTACACATTTGCATCTAGCACCACTATTACAATCACCTTTGTCCCAAAATATGAATAGATCTCATCAATAGGCTGCATTGTGATGTCCCGCCAGTTCAGTGCCCAATTTCTCAAAAGCTGCTTCCTCGTTAGTTCATCTGCCAAAAATAGTATTCATCTCACTTTGCATGCCACTAGTACGAAACTTTGTGACATATTAAAGATAGCATACCATGCAGTGGAAAGACTTGTTTAACAATGCCCTCTGATTCCAGCTTCTGCAGTATAGATTCCCCAATCTTCCAGTGGAACTTTTTGCCATCAAAATTTAATGTTATAACTGACTGGCTCTTGTTCACCTGTGAAATTGAGTCTTTAAGTTCATTGTGAAGCATGGTTAAAATATATGGTAAACAGCATAACTCAATGTCAGGAGTACCACAGTGAATTAATTCTACCTCTATGGCACTTGCTTCAATTGTACATAGACAAACATAAATTTAGTTCTATAATGTCTTTTTCTTCGTAAAACAGCAATGTAAATGAGTTGAGCAGAGTAGACGAACAATATCCAATTATTAGAACTTGGAATTAGTAGAATGTATAAATGCAAATTATGAAGTTGCTTCCAGCACCAAAATTCAAGCCAACTAAAAGCTCAGAAACATAGAACAGGAACTAGCTGCACAGCAGCAGCAGCGTAATCGAGTATCCTTGACCTACCGACTTCATTTTAAAGACGCAAAACTTTATTTGACTGCCTAATTATAAATTGTTAGGACAATATCATATTTGATATTTTCATGAACAGAGCTCTTAAATAAGTTAATCCTACCTTATAGGGAAAAAAAGAAAAAAAACCTTAAATAAGTCTATAGCGTTGTGTCACTTCATTCAATGATTTGACGTAGAAGTTTAAATGAACTACTTAGGAAACTAATCAGAAAGTTCAATATGAAATGATATTTACTGATTTATCCTCGAGGCAAAGCAACCCTTTCTAAACAGCAGAGCAAAGGCTGATATAGTAGTTGATTGATCAAACTAAGATTTTAAAGGCCGATAGAGTGGTCAATAATGGCCTCAATCAATCAAATAAAGAGCCAACCAGTTGAAGGTGCTCTAAAAATTTGATTTCTCTCTCTCTCTCTCTCTCTCTCTCTCGATCCATTGTAGATAAGTTTATGAAAGGATTGTGGTTTCCTATTCCGAATTTAACTCTTAATTTCCAAATTCATTCATAACTCTCAGAATGCCATGAATATGTAGCCTTGGGTCATTCTTGGACATGAGAAAATAGAAAGAAAAACAGGAAAAACATTAGTAAAAAACTAGAGAATTCCGAGACAAAATCAGTTTGTTTTGATTCCCACATAGTTAGAAAAGCCAAGGAACACCGTGTTAGTGTTGTGCGATTGAATCAAGCACAGAGCTCATCTGGGACACTAAAATTATTGAATTAATAAGCTTATGCAAAAATATTGACAATGGAGTTGGTACATGGAGAGTCACTCACAATGCCGTATATTATGTGATGGTAGCAATGAAAACGTTCACACCAATTAAACAACAAACCATCAGGTTGTCTGGCAAAAGCTTCAAACTCTTCCCACACAAATGGTAAATCCACTCCTGAAATCAATATCATCTTATTGGTAAATAAGCAAAAGCAACGACACTTCTCTGGTGAAAGTGATGGGATACTCGTTAAGGACAACAAAACATCAAGATCAACAGGTAAATTGAAATCAAATAACCACAAGAACAAAGATTAAATGAACTCTGTAAATATTACCGATATGAATTCTTTTCTTTATCTGCAACTCGGCTGCAGCCCTGCCCAGTTTTTCCAACGGGGCTGCCAACTGAAAGAAAGATACTCACAACATAAAATAAAGTAACAAATTCCCATATTACTTGAGGATTATAACAGACCAATCTCCACATTAAGTATTGAAGTTGCCTTCGGGAAAGCAATTGAAAATAAGAAAAGTTATGCTGAATCGTACACGCTGCATGCCTTTAGCATTTGAAATACACAGCATCCAATATTTTTACTTATATTGCTAAACAAATAATAAAATCCTAATTTTCTTCTGATTGAAATAATCTGATGATTGATATCAAAACTTCTTTTTTACCATTTCTTTTGTAGTGAGTCCTGCAGTCTGCAAACACCTAAGACCCAATGGGGACTTGAACCATACACCTTACTTCGGGGAAGGAGATATAGCTCAAGCTAGCATCCAGTGGTGTATGTGTGTGTGTGTGTGTGTGTGTGTGTGTATATATATATAATTTAGTTGGAAGCAAAAAGGAACACTATCAATGTTGGAACAAAGTTCATCCACAGTTGAATAGGCAGCCACCTAAACCTAGCAATCATCATAATTATACACCAAAGGCACAAATAAAGTAAATGGAATGAATTAAAAGATCTTCCTTTTCAGCAATGCCAAGGACTCGCATAAGAGTAAACTAGAGTACCCATATTATAAACTATTACATGTGACTCTAATATAAGATTACATAGATATGCTGTAAAGATATATAAATATATATTTATATATATAACACATCGATTACAATTTAGAAAATGTAACATGTAATATAAAAGAGGGTAAAGATTGAACCTTGATAAACTCATCCTGAAGGCCGAAAACTCTGTCTACAATCAACCCCACTTTCCTGAACTCTTCAACAAGAACCTCAACACAATCACAGCTCTCATCTCCTTCCTTCACAGTCCTCTTTGGAACCACCACCACTATCTCAAAAGCCGTTTGTTCTTCCTCACCATGCTCATTCATTTCCAAACCTACGCACCCACCTCACACCCCACAATAACCCCACAAGAGAGAAAAAAAACAGAACAACTACAAAAAAAAAAAAAAAACAAAACAAAACAAATGGGTGTATTTGAATCAACCCAAAATATGAGTTTCTGCCAAAATAGTGATTTGGGTGTCTCTGTTTGAAATTAAATGAAGCTTGAATCAACCAAAATACTTATGTTTCTGCTGAATTGGCGATTTGTGTTGAACCAAAAAGAAGCATTTCTTCAAACAGATAGAGGGAGAGAGAGAGAACAGATGTCTGTATAGACTGAAATTGAGGAATAGTTTTATCTGTGATCGACACATAAGAAGTAGAAGGAGGTGGACACGTGGTGTGGTTGGCAGTATTTGCGAAATTGCGAGGTTTGGTCTCTGAGAAGTAATCATTCGAGTGAGTCGCGAGGCACGAGTGTCTATGCATCATCGGACTCTGTGACAAATCTAGTGGCATTTCATCAACTTGTGGTTGTGACCCCATTTCTCTCTATCAGTGTCTGTATATATATGTATGTATGTATATATATAATATACCTGCGCAATTGCAAGTTGCAGGTCAAGAGATGCTTTAATAGAAAGTTTGAAATTCACTGACACCCGTGAAATTTGGTCAAATATCAGTATAAAATATCAAAAAGAATATAATATGTCATGTTTTATTTTCGAAAGATGTTTTAGACTGATATTTGACCAAATCTTAGAAATGTCAGTGAAATTATCCCTTGAAACATAATAGCGGGAGGAATATAATGTGCCATGACTTGATGGGGGTGAGAATGTCTGTGTAAAATGGCATAATATTGATTCCTTCTTTGTTTTGGCAGGAGGTTCTCCAATCAAATACCAAAACGACAGGTTAGCTGGGAACTGTGTGTGATCAGGTAAATTCTGGGGGTCACACTGGTAATGCTCATGGTCCCAAAAGAACAGAATAATTGGACCTTGGGAAAGTAAATGAATTGAATAGGGTAAGACCAGATGTATTTGCAAGATGGAGGTCGGGATCAAAGTGTAGTTTCGATCTTTCACACAAGGGAGTCTGCTTATTTAAAAGGATTTTTTTTTTCCCCTTTATTTAAAAGGATTAATAAAGTGCTATCTAAAGTTTGTTTTAATCAAAAATATAAACGACTTGGGAGTTTGAACAAACCAACTGTGGGTAAAAGTATGTAAACTTTAATAATTTGTGAGAAGAATTTATCACAAATAAATAGATTTCATTATTCTCGTTCCTATAACGTATAAATAAATAGTTAAATATAAATATTTCGATATGTAATTACAAATTTCATTGAGATAACGAACTAAGCTGCAACTAGATAAAATGTGAAAACTGATTTATCTCTCTTGGCCTTTGGCACACATAAAAATTATAGCGTGTTATTTTATTAGTGTACATAATTGATTGGATATATGCACTTTTATAAAGGTAGAAAAAAGATCAGTTTTCCTTTTAACAACCTTAATGTCACTTACCATCAAAGTAAGGAATAAATAAAAAAATATTCACCAATAATTAATTATCATAAAGGTAATTTATAAATTGACCAAATAATATAATTTTAATCCAATATTTATTTACTTAACCACTAATTAATTAAATATATTACATGTCTAAATCATTTTCCATAGTGTTTTAGTAAAATAGTCATTAGTGTACACCATAAATCAGATTGAGTCCTTAAGTTGGTCATCATAAATACCATGGTAAATAAATTACTAATGTGAGTCATAAGGGTTGTATATCACTAAATAACACAGTCCCTTCCATGTACCACAATACTAATAACCTATTCAACATAGTTTATAAATGAGAAGTATAATGTCTTTTCCAAGACTATTCCTATATTCATAATAGACAAAGGCCTCGTTTGGCATGGCTTTTACTTCTGCTTTTACAAAGAAGAAAAAGAGAAGTAAAAGCTATCACTTCTATTTGGCTTCTATGGTAGTGTGTGGAACTGTATTTTAGAAGAGCTTTTAATGGTAGAAGAATTTTTCTCTCTGTTTGGCAAAATATTTACTAAAACTCTTTTATTACTCATATAACTATTTTGCCCTTAGATGAAATATATATATATATATATATATATATATATATTGGGAGATGATATTTTTTTTTGGAGTGTTTATCAACCTAAATTGAAAAAATAATAATAAATAAACCTAAAAAATCAATCAAATAAGCATTCTTACCATATGAACCGATAAAATAAGCGTCCAAAACACTTACCGACATACTGCTGCAATCAAAACTATGATACTGACAAATATAATTTAACCAACAGTTATTTATTTAATTATTATTATTATTATTTTTCAACATCATATATATTAACTCATTTTATAAATTCTTTGATGGAAATTAAATACAACGTTTTACATACAAGTTCACCTTTCTTTTTTACTTTTTTTTTCCTTACAAGTTCACCTATTTTCCAATTCAAATTTGAGGTGAAAAAAATAGTTAAAGAATAAAGATGGAAAGGTTTTTTTCCTTCATTCTGTGGCCTTTACTGAGGAAGCTTTACATACATGTTTACCTATTTTCTAATTCAATTTTGTGGTAAAAAAAAAGCTAAAGACGGAAAGAAAACAAAAAAATCAAAACCAAGAATGAATCAAAATATAGCTATGATTGCAACAGCGATATATATATATATATATATATATATATATATATATATATATATATATATATAATTCCTTGGGATTCTCTTCTTTGTTTTTGTTTTTGCTTCTTTTTTTTTTCTCCAGTAAATACAAAGAAAGATCATGAGGGGAGTATGGAACCTACAAGAACAAGAAAACGCAGAGATCCACCTAGGCGAAAGCCCTTATGCAACTCCAATCCCAACCAACCTATTACCGATCCCAAATCAGAGGTTGAAGAATTCTTAACCCTGCCACCAAAGAACTATGATCCCATTCTGTGGGCTGAAGCACGTGATTTTTCATGTTCCAACTCTGGACAAGATTGTAGCTATGGATACACATATTAGATCTATGTGTTTTCTCGTAGGTTCCATATTAATCCCATGATCTTTCTTTCTATTTATCAAAATTAAAAACAAAGAAGAGAAAGAGCCCAAATAAGAATCTTCTTCTGGGCTTCCTTCCCGTTGAATGCTCGATCAGATTAGTCAAGGCAGCGGCGAGTACTATTAGGGTTTGGAAAGAAAATTAAAGGAACTTTTATAGGGACACGTTTGGAATTACATTTTTTTATTAAGTAATAAAAAGGGTACGCTTGTCATTTAAAAAGTTTCATTAAAATGCCTGAACTCTTCCCGTATTGTTTCAAAAGAGCGTTTTGAAAAAGCTGGGGGGTACCAGCTTCTCCAAAACGCTCTTCCAAAACCCAAAAGCTCTTTAAAAAACTAGTCAAATACTACTCAGAATAGCTTTTAAGTCCAAAAAGCTAAAAGCAGCGTTTGAAAAGCCAATCCAAACAGGGCCAAAGTAATAATAAATTGCTTTATACTTTTTCATAATATTGTTCCTCCAGCCAAAAGGAATAAATAACCATTTAAAAATGTCTTCCTAAGTGTGAGCATATAATCTTTTATTCCCTACCAACTTGTATATACATCAAACTCCACAATATATGCATAAGAAATATTTTTCGTTTCTTTACCTTCTAGCTAACTCATTCTTTGGGATTGCATTAGGCTGAATTTATCTCTTTTTATGTATGGAACAATTCTGATTGAATAATGTTCCATACCAAATCTTTTTAGAACTCTTTCAATATAAGCTTTCTGAGACAATCCTAAAAATCCACGTGACCTATCATGAAATATTTATATTCCTATCAATTAGGATGCCTCATCCATCTATTTCATTTCAAAGTTCTTAGAGATAACTTTTAGTTTCATATAATAAACTAAGATCAATACTAGCAAATAAATATTATCAATATATAGAATCAGAAATATAAACTTACTCTCACTAACCTTCTACTATATACACTGATCAACAATGTTTTTCTTAAAATCAAAAGAAATAATGGTATCATTAAACTTAATATACCATTGTTAGGAAGATTGTTTAAATCCATATATTGATTTACCCTCTAATGTGAAGCCTTTAGGTTGTTCTATATGGACTTCATTTGCTTTAGAATTTTTTATTAAGAAACTTTTTTTGCGGCGTGAATTTGGTAGTGTATTTATTTTATTTCTTTTGTTTTTTGACTAATTTTTGGGAATGAATGGATTCCTTTTTAAATAATGGAACTTTTTTTAAAAAAAGATAATTTAATGAGATGTTAATGAGGTATGAATCATATGGGAATTGTATAAAAACAAAAAAAAAAAAAATGGTACTTTTTATTTTTAACTTCTTTTTTTTGGCTTTAGAATTTTTGGGTAGAAAATTTTTGGTAAGAAATGGGTTCCTTTTAAAGAGTAGATTTTTCTTTTCTTTTTTTAGATTATAGTCTAAATCATAATAAGTTACTAATGGCATGATATTTTAAAAGATTCCTTCTTAGATACTGGAAAGAAGGTTTTTTTATAATATCTTCATTCATAGCACTAATCCATTTAGTAAAATCATTATTGTTAATGGCTTGTGAATATGTAACCGGATCCGTGTGTATCTCACTATATATCAAAGTTAGATTCTTGCAAATATGTCACATAGTCATCCGGAATAGCAAATCTCATTTCTCTTTGAGATCGTCTTAATGTTATTTCTTATGATTCTTCTACAATCTATTCATTGGTGACAATCTCATTATGAAGTTATTGATCATTCAATTGTTATTCCTTGTTATACGGTTCAACAACTGAAGGAACAATTATTTCCTTAGAAGTTATGGATAAAGAAATTTATACCCTAACTTCTTAAATGATCACATTCTTATTTTTATCACTCCCATTGACTTCACAATTCTTAATGAATCTGACATTTCCGATTTCAACAATTCTCGTATTATGTTTAGGATAATGAAACTTGTACCCTTCAGATTACTTAATATCCACAACGTTATGGGTAACGAGAAATTACTTAACATACTCCTAACAATATCCGTAAGAGTACGATTACGCCTTTCAGCTACACGCTTCTGCTGTGACATGTATAGCAAAGTGTATTGAGCACAAATGCCATATATTTCAATAAATTCAGCAAACAGTTAGAGTATTAACCCGTTTCATCATAATTTCCATAATATTCACCACCTCTATATGATCTTATGATTTTCACTTTTCTATCTAGTTGTTTTTCAACCTCATTTATGTATACTTCAAGAGTACTCATTGTTTGAGATTTTTCATGCAACAAATAGATATATCCATAACGTGAAAAATTAACTATAAAGGCGATAAAATACTTTCTCTACCAAAAGATGGAACATTAGAAGGTATACAAATGTCTGTATAAATAATTTTAAGAAATTCTGACTTCTTGTGGCTCATTTCTTTATGTG